ACAATTTTTGAGCCTTTATAACGCCCTATCTAGACTGTTTTCAGACCTGACGCGCCACATATGGTATACGATGAGGCCACATATTTTCCCTCGCCATATATCTCACAAGCCATTTTTATCCTAAGCTGTGCCTTAAGTGCTTACTAGTGAAACAGTGGAAGCGATCAAGTCCTGTACCCTACGAATTTTGATGCTTCACAGCAAAGGGAGAGATGTGATGATTTCTCAGGGACAATAACATATGCAAAACAAGTTACCATCTCAATCCAAGCCTTTATCAATCACGATCTAAACCGAATATATGCCAGCAGTCGGAATGCCATGCTCTCATACTGTTCCGAACAACTTTAACCTTCAAAGGAAAGGTGATGAGCAGTGGGAGTTGCACCGTAATACTTTCACATGTTTAATGTTAATACTACTAAAGTAAAGAAACGTTAGCCTAAAAGGTTTTGCACTCGCGCTCTAATGCAAACAGCTCGGTCGAGTGACAGCACGGGCAACTGTACCAAATATCCGCGGGACGTTTGAATTCGCCTTGTCGTACAGAGACTGTTTCTCTGTCAAATTCTCTCAGCGAGAGAAATTTCGGTTGACAACAGTCCTGTAACCGATTTGTATGCTCCCCTGGTTTTTGTTACGTTTTTCATACTGTTTAACAAGTTCTGTCATCTCCAATTTATTACACTTTACTTATTAGTGGCACCGGTCCGCAGTTTTCGTCTATCAGCGCTCAGGATTCGTTTTTGTTTGCGAAATTGTTTTTCCTATGCTTCTGTTTTGTATTGAAAGTGTCGCAAATACATTTATAGGTATAATGCCTGGTCTGGAATGGCTGGGCCTCTCGGAGCAGAAAGTAAGCGAAACAGCCAAGAACGTCGCATTGTCAAAACAACTAGCTGTCATTATCGAAGCTGCTGAAGAGGCTTTGAAAAATGCAGGCAAATCAAATGTGTTGGGAAAACAGCAGGTATGAAAAATTGTTTTAGATCTATCCCTACCTTTCTTCCTATTCACTCTGCTTATGGATGTAGGTTGATATTCGCTGCAAACGATTTCAATTGTTAGGGAGAGTTGTATGTGTTTAGAAGGGCTCAGTGGGGGTTCCATAGTGAGTTCCATACTGAATTGCTATGTTCCACTAGTCGTGTTTGGCGTAGTAGAAAAGCTATCCTCAGATGAAGGCTACTGACTGAATCATGGATAAGTTTTTGTGGAAAATCGGGTTTTGAGTGCAGCTTTTGCAGTCCAAATAAGAATAAGAGGTAAAAGCTTACTCGTGGATGAACTCAATTCGTAAGCAGACATGAGGCAAATTCCAGGCGGAAGCTATCTTGCTTTGTGGTTTGGCTATCTAGTTTTGTTAGTTTTTCGTTATTTGACCAAGCCCAATCCTCAGCTCCTAAGTTTTGTGGTAATACGAGCCGAACCATCTTAACAAATCAGCTGAACAACTCATGCATCAACAGCGCGGGATAAAACAGAGATGCCTTTTGTATGCCTTCTTACCTTATGCATCTGTATCCTCAACTACGGGCGCCGTTTTCATGGAAAGAAATGACGCCCAAATTAGTAAAATTGAAAGAAATCCATCTAGAATAAGATATGCTTGACAAACATTGCAGCGTTCCTTCAATGAACAACTGGTAAATACGAGATGGTTAGGGTATAGACTAAGTTGTCGCACGAAATTTATCTGTTACAATTCAGAATGTAAGCTCCGGCACACCTGAACTTAGATCTAAAAGTTTAACTTGGCGTTGTAAAGCTTACATTGTAAACTTCCCAATAATAATTTTGCACGTTTCAGCAGATAAATTAAACTTCTCAGTTTGTTATTATTGATGAACCCACGATTTCCCTTTTTTCGCTCATTAAAGATGCTTTTTATCTTTTAATCGAATTCATTTCCATTATCCGTCAGATCAGAATCTGTTCCATATTTTCAAACTTTTTTAACAGCTATTTCCGGGGGTATCCGTCCCAATATATAGCATAAGTCACAAGTTTTCCGATTGTTTCGAATTTCGGTTCCTTGGTTGGACCACATTCTGTACCCATAGATGTCTCTTATCCATGTAGCCATCAGGTAATGCTACATTCTAACCTGCCGGCGTTTTTACTGATATATGTTTGTTGCTGGAATGCTCTATCAATATCCGCTTTCCACTTGAGTGATGTTTTCGAACTTCATTCAAAATCTCTTTTTGATTTACTTTCTATTGTGATCATAGTTGCATTTACACTTTTCAACCTAGGTTTTAACTCGGAATTAGTAGCTATTTCTTTATTGCTGCCGTACGAGAGCAGGTTTTGGAGTATATAAACAAGAAACAAATGTTTCAGGGAACATTACTGTATCAACTGGGAACCAAAATTAAACCGCAGTGTGCAAAACATATCCCATTATTGGTTAACTATATTATTTCTGATGGAATCAGGACCGAAGCTCAGGCAAGTGATGTTCCTCTTTTTTTNTTTTTTTATGATGTTTATTTTATCTTCTTTAAAGCTCTGTTTAGCTTTTTCAATTGTTTTTTCATTTCTCAATAGCATTGATTTGTCATATTCCCTAATACTTGTATAGTCTGAGCGAAATCCGAGTCTGTGAAGATTCGAATCTTTGCAGGCTGAATTTGAGAACGACTTAAGTGTTCTTGCTTCTTGTTTCATTACATTCTGTTTTATGTCCGCTTTTCTGATCTCATTTTTCGTTCTTTTTTATCTCATCTCTTGAGTGCTATAGTTGCTTCCAGTTCCCACACATTTATATGCTTATTTCAGTCTCATCTTACCTTAATTTCCGTGGTTTATGCTATATTGTCATTAATTTAATGCACTTGCATCATCCTTGCATTTTCCTCCATCATTATCTTTGTCTTTCAGTGCTCCCTGTAACATGTTCATTGTTTCGGCTTTATCAGTCAACTTACTCCGGTTTTGTGTTCATATTAGACTTTTAGCATACCGTCACCAACTAATGCGCATCACATCCCTGAAATGAAAATGCTTTAGCTCACGGCAAGCTTGGACTATCTCCTTGCAAATGCTGTTCACGATTTTGAAATAGCTGAGCTTGAAAAAGCTTGCGGCGTTGGTGTTTTAGTGTCTGCTGATGAGATAGAAGACGCAGTGAGTTCCTTTTGTCCTTTTTACCATTTGCCAAACTCAAAGAAGTATTTAGCTCAATGAGTTTCATACTTGGGATTCAGGTCACCAAGGTATTCAAGAAGTATAACGAGCAATTAATAGCTGAACGGTATGCATTCAATGTAGGAAAACTGTTAGGTAAGTATCATTTTTTCACTCATCGTATGAGCCTCGTCCTCAGTAATTCAGGTTCTTGTTACCATACCAGTTGGTCTTACTGTTAGACTTTTCGACCTACATAAAGCGATCTAGCTGCTTTCATAGTCCGCCAGTCTTTCGTAGTCTTTCTTACATACGAACTAATTTGTTTTACGTCAGGGCGTGCCGGTGAACAATGAAAGCAGCCACTCACGGTACCAGTCTACCATTGCGCACAGGCAGCAATTACCGTAGTCTTACATTAATTTCTATTCGATTTCGAAGTGAGACTAATAGCAGGCGAGCAGGAGTATCATCGAAAATTGAGCACTAGAGCGCAAATCTGGATAATCGACTTCGTGAGCCCATAATGGTGCTTAGGAACGTTTTTAAGCTGGGGAAATGTGGTTATTCTTAATTAGTTCCTAGGAGGAAGAAGCACCAGCACCGGGGAGTCAATTGGATGTCCATTCTTACCCCATCGCAGCTGAACAAGGTAGTCATCTCTCCCACGCCGGTACTCCCCCCTCCTAAGGGTCAGTTAAAAACTAAGTATACTCCTTTGGCTGAAAACCGTCTCCAAGCGTAGTAGAACTAGCTACCTTTCTTCTTTGCGTCCCAACGCGCACGTCAAATCATAGCGGTCGTTCCTCTAACTGCTCTTTAATCAGGGTCAGTGACCTCACTGAGTTCTATTTTTAGACGAAGCGAATAGAAAGGTTGAGGCCTAGCCAAAACTAGCTAATCTCGCGCCTTTTTCTGGCCTCTGTGGCTTTGTTTGCTCTCGTAATCACGGTGAAGGGGAAAAGCATATCATCTAGAGCCACCCCAAGTCCCTGTGAGTCAGTTTAGCAGTGGTCGACTACAATACAGGTTGTATCATGCCTGCTTGGAAACATTTGGTCTAGAGAACCGTTTTTCGAAGTTTTAATTGTTGAATAAGGGATACCTGACAGCTATCTCCGAGTTTCCAGACTCTGACGAAGACGATAAAGCTAAGACATAAGTCGAGCAAGAGTTTCTTTATCATCATGGTCGCAGGTTTCATAAAAAACTTAAGGAATTTCTTAAAAGCCATGGTTCATTGAGAGTTGAACTTGGGTACCTAAACCACCATGGTTCTCAAATCAAATTTTCAACCTAACAAATGGTAATGCTTCGTCAAATTTAAATCTGATCATTTTATTATAGGAGAAATCCGTTCGATGTTACCTTGGGCCGATGGAGGTTATGTAAAAAAGGAAGTAGACCTTCGTATTCTCGAACTCCTCGGTCCTAAAACAATTGACGAATTAATACCGAAGAAAAAGGTTCTGCATTCTTCATATTATACTATTCTTCCTAATTTTATAGTTTTCAATTGTGGTGTATTTGTAAAACGGCCATTATGTGAATCTATCTGAGTGCTTCTTATATATTGAAATTTTTCTAACAAGATAGCCTCGCTCTAGGTGCGGAAAGAGGAAAAACCCAGCAAGAAAGGTGCGACTATAAAGAGCGACCACCCAGAGGAAAGTGTCGCTCTGGCGCAGAATGGTTTAATTGAAGGTTGGTTTGGAGATATTTTTCGGTGTGAGTGCTACGCTTCTTATTGATCATTCATTAGATTCCAGAGAGTAATGGTGCTGCGACGATCGAAGAGCTCATGCGCACTCGAGCAAATTTTCACAAGGTTCTCTACCAATTCCTCGAGAAGTGCTAATCGATATTACGTCATTTTTGGATCCATTTTCTGGTGGAACCGTTTATTTTTAGGTTGGTGAAAATTACACCACTGATGGATACATCACCACTCCGCATACGAAGGAGCTGCTAAGGAAACATTTTGAAGCTACCGGAGGAAAAGTGAGAGTCAATTCCATATGGCAAATTTTACTCAGTATTACGTTTCCCCATAACTTGCTCTTGGCTATCATTACTACTAATGGATCGCCAGACTTATGCCGTTCTCTCTTCCTTTTCGTGTTAAAAGTGGCCCGCCGCCTTCATTCATTTCACATTTGCACGCTCTGGTAGGAAAGTGGTAGTGTTTGATTTCCGATCAAACACACACACACAAACACTCCTGACACATCCATATACACATGCACATACACTTAGACATTAGCGTGCTATATATAGTAGAACTATTTGGTTTGTTTTGTCCTGATGTTTTGTTAACTGCTGTTGTATCGTCTAGTACGTGATGTGAAATTTTGACAAGGACGGCGATTCGGCCTCGGACGGTACAGCATAAAGAGCACGGTGCCCGGAAAGCAAAAGTAGTGGCGTCCGAGGCCAAGGTTTTGCCAACAAGTTGCCATCTTGGAGAATATATTAGTTTCAGTTGATTCAAATGAAATAACTCTTCATTTATATATGGCTTATTATCTTCAAAACAGTAATGAACTTCGAAAATCTTCACAAAGAAAAACTGTGAAAATTTCTGAACACTCGCCTGACACTTCTTTTCTTCATTATGGAAAGTATTCTATTTCTGTAGTAGCTCTTTCGACAATATCGGTCAGAGTAATTCGAAAGTTTTTCGTAATGTGAGGGATTTCCCGGATGCCTTCGTTAATTTGTATATTATTTGTCCTGGTTGAGGGCTCTGAACTGAATTCTCGAACTTAATATGATTACGTATCCGTATGGTCATGTGAGAAGTGTATGGTTCTAGGTCATCACACGGTTTCCACCAGAACCGAATGGGGTTTTGCACATTGGACATGCGAAGGCTATTAATATCAATTTTGGATATGCTAAGGTAATCGTTGCCCCCAACTTTTTTTGGCGAAAGGCTTTCTTTTTCGATCAGTTAGCAGAGACAGTTGTTTTAAGGCATACGGAGGAATGTGTAACTTGAGATTTGACGATACGAATCCGGAAAAAGAAGAAGAAAAATTTTTCACAGCTATTGAGGACATCATTGGATGGCTTGGTCAGTGAAGTGTTAAACGTACTTCTTCTTGTTGTTCGGCGGTTCAGGGGCTCCTAACATCACCTTTATCATTATATCCGATCCCTTCTTCACTACCAAAGTCCGCTTTTAGTTTTTTTTTTCAATATTGGAATTATAATTCCAACGCATTTTTGTCTTTTTCAAATAAGCCCACCCTTACGGTGGGGCTTTAGACAGGAACCTCTTTCTAGTATCAATTCTGCTTTGGTGTTCGAGGCGAGCGAAGCAAAACAACACGCAGCAGGCTACTAGGGTCATGAGAGGCGAAAAACAAAAACTTATCAAAATCACGGTTCACGATAGAAATGGTTACTGAGTTCTTCCATGAGGAATACCAGTGGCCCCCATGGGTGGTAGAAGGAACCCTCTCGCTCCCGCAATCTCGACGGTCAGGGCCTAGTGGAAGCCCTGTTGCTGTCTTGAGTGGCTTTCCCGCCCCTCGATCGATGTCACGTCAGACGAGTGTCGAGACGGTACAGATTGCTGATTCTCGCTCTAGGACCCACACACAATGAGCTGATCGCCGTGTAATAAGACGGTGATTCCCTCCTATTCTTTTGTTCTCTGTTATTATTTCTGCTGTTGCGATCCCTAATTCAATTTTTTACCTTAAGAGGCTGACAAAGGTGGGCTATTTCTGCTGTTACAAGGGGCTTTTTGTTAACTTGGCTTATGAGTGAATGAGTTTTTGCCTACCATAGTTAGCATTCGCACCAGGACCCACACGTACGCACTGCCCCACATTGTATACCTCGTCCAAACGCCCCACTCTTCTTCGTTCTTCTTGTCTCTTTCCAGCCCCCTTTCAACGGTTTTTCAAAGCATTTTTCCACTTTGGAAACACCGATGCACGCAGTTTCTTCACCTCAGTCGCACTAGTTTCGATCTTGTCTTCCATTTTTCATCTACTTCTACTTCCCATCTTATCTTTCATTCTTCGTNGGGGGGGGGGGGGGGGGGGAGGTACGGAACCTCGTAGAGTTAAGATAACAAACAATTGCGTACTATGCATAGACCAGCGAGGATTGGAGCCCCATGCATGATATCTAAAGTGAACTTTTTTAAATGAGGTTTTTAATCCTACACGGTTGTTCTACAGACAAAACAACTCGGTGCTTTGTTCATTCGCTTGTAACGTCCCAGTTTTTTCTTCATGACATGAGCAACTTTGGAGCTTTTCCTACCGTTCCTGTTGGATTTTGCGTCAAATCTCTGCCGTTTTTCTACTGCTATCTTGATTGGGGGAACTTCCAATCACCTGTCCATTTCCGTCTTCTTCTGCTTCAGTTTGTGGATTTGGGGGCGAGGATATTAGAGCCAATATTAGCATTCTGAATAAACTAAAAACACCTTGCATGGCCATGGGAAGATGGGCAGTTGGATCGGTTTTATGTAATCGATTCGCCTCGCGCGGCAGTCGCGGATCAGTTGCCTCGTTATTGTAGTTCCAGTGTTCTTCATACGGCTTGATCGACATGCTATTACTGTTTTTGATATGATTCTCGTGTCACTTCGCGCGCGTTCCTCCTCTCTCTCGCCTCGAAGCGACATTTTCGATCACCTGTAATTGAATTAGGCTTTCCTAACGCTCTGCGTCAATTTTGTACTTTTGGTAGTTGTGAGTATTTAGCTCAAAAATTTTGTGATCAACGTTCTAATAATCTTCCTGGGAAGAATGAAAGTGTGTAGCCGAGCATTCAACGCTATAGGAAGCACCTACTACCAGCTCAATGAGGCATTATTCCTCTTCCAGAACAAACTTGTCACCCAATCAACTAAATAATGCGGTGATTAGAAAGTTCAGTCATCATACTATTAGATTTTTTTGGAGGAATTCGATTGACTTCTGGGAATTTTTTGCTAAAGTTACACTTTTGTAAATGACCATGCCTAGATTCATCGTGTATTCTGCAAGCTCCTCCACACTATTACTCGCCTATCCTTTGTCCCCCGTTGTGAACAGCCTCTAACATTGACCGCGCAAGAGTGAAGTTCTGATTGAATGCATCTCCTACATTATAATTCAGCACCTTACTCACGAAGAATGCTTTTCACTATTAAGAAATTCAGAATTCATTTAATGGCAGTGGTCTAAATGTGCAATACTTAAGGTTACACACCAGCTCGAATTACCCACTCCTCGGACAACTTCCAGCAACTCTACGAGGTGAGAACCAAACCTTTGCTCTCACCTTCTTTACATTTTCCGATTTTATTAATTTTACGGCAGTAGTATTACTGCATTCCTGTTCAGAAGTGTTATCCCTTGGAAGTTGTAACCGCCCAAGGAGAAAGGTGAACCATGTATGTATGTGATTCGAGGAGCCTTTGGAAGGGGGTAGCACATTAACTTCTTCAGACACTGGTCCTGTTTTCGCTCTCGAACCATGGTTTAAGTTGTGGCGATATAGGCCTGACGCCTCACGTTGTGTTCAACTCATTCCTCTGCTGGAAACTTGGCCTGTTCGCCTGCGTCGTCCCCTTAATTTTGTATAGCCATTATCTCGCGGAATTCTGCCAACTCAGTCGGTGAACGAAGAGCAACTAGGTTGTCATATTAACACCTGCATAAATTGGCCACCTTATCAATTTAACCATGGAAGGATCCCAAGTCGATGTGGCCGTTCGGAAGTAGACCTTCACTGCTAGACGTGCTTTCGGATGCTGATCTCAAATCTACTTTCCAAAACGCTTCATGTGCGAGAGACCAAGGTTCGAGTTTTGGGAGGGGCGAAATTTTTGCATTTGATTGAATTTTTCCTTGTGGCCCGTGGATCACTTTTATGTTTATTTTATCGCATTCTACTATTTTTGGTGGCTGCGATGACAACTTTCTTACCCATAACATACAACATCGCTTCAATTTTTTGCATACTTGTGCATACTATATTCACAGCGAATGCGCTGTGGTGGCAGGTGGCGCACTATCACACACGGATGNTATTTTTGGTGGCTGCGATGACAACTTTCTTACCCATAACATACAACATCGCTTCAATTTTTTGCATACTTGTGCATACTACATTCACAGCGCTGTGGTGGCAGGTGGCGCACTATCACACACGGATGGAAGAGTGGGGCGAGTGAAGTGAAGAGTGAAGAGGAGTGGGGGGTAACGGAAATTCTCCCCGATTGCGGAATTCTCCCTTGCGGCATATGGCAAATGTCACTGCAATTACCGTACTCACCCAGGCTCCCCGCCAATCGATAGGACGCGATATTTTTCGTTGATTGCCTTGCATTTTTATTGGATTTGGTCGTTTTAACTTCTGTTTCTTTTTCTTAGACTTGATTTATTGAAATGACTCCTATATAAACGACGATCAAGACCGCATTGGAATTGAAAAGAGCAGCTAGCCAATTCAAATAATAAAAGGACTTCCTACCTTCTAACTTGCGCGCTCCAATCTTCTATCGCAATCCTGCGATACGCGGCGGGTGTGGCGTGTGCGACGCCGTGTTCAGGGAGAAGTTCCCGGACCCAAGAGTGGGGCGTTTGGACGAGCTGCACACTACGCGTCATTGCGTACTTGTGGGTCCTACTGCAAATAACTGACAACGGTAAGCGAAAAATCATTACTTACAAGCATAAAAGCAAAAAACCCTGGTCATAGCAAAAGTGGCTCACCTTTTTCAGCCTTTTGGATAGGAAACTAAAAAGGGATCGCCACAGCAAAAAGTATTACAGAGGAAAAAAAGAATGAGAGAAAGCATCGCCTCAACACTCGGGGACCAGCTGATTGTGTGTGGTCCTAGAACGAATAATTGCAATCTGTATTGTCTCGACACTCGTCTTAAGTGACATCGATCGAAAGGCGGGAAAGCCATTTACGACAGCAACAGGGCTTCCACTAAGCCCTAACCGTCGAGATTGTGGGAGCGAGAGGGTCCCTTCCACCACCCATGGAGGCCACTGAGTATTCCTAAGGGAAGAACTCAGTAACCATTTTTATCGTGAACCGTGCCTTTGAGAATCCCAGATGCCTGGAGGAGCAGCACAGTCGTTCCCATAATAAAACAGAAGGGGGACGCAAAGGAGTATTCTCACTACAGGGGATCAGGCAGGCGGCTTGCATGAAATTGTACGAGCGGCTAGTTGACTCAAGATGGAGGGAACTCGTCTATATCTCATCGAGCAGTTTCACTTCATGCCAGAACGTTCTACAACGGATGCTATCTTCATAGCCAGACAAGATTGGAGAAGTGTCGAGAAAAGGTAGACCCTGCTATCTAGTCTTCAATTTGGAGAATGCCTTCGATCTTCTCCCGCGACAAGTAAACTGGAGAGCGCTCCGAGAACGCAAAGTTCCAGAGCACCTGATCTCCCTACTCAAAGTCCGTGCGATAGGTCCACGACAGCACATGACAGAAGCAGTAGGCGTCACGGTCGGGGTACATCAGAGATCAGATCCAAGCCCGTTTCTCTTCCTGCTTATAATGGACGTCATCACAAAAAACTCATAATTGGACCACTGGAGGCTATCCTCTACGCTGATGGCTTCTGATAGCCGAAAGCGAAGAGAATTTCCAGGATAAGCTGCAGCAATGGCAGGAAGTGCTGACGGATAACGGGCTTCGACTGAACGTGAAAAAGACTAAGCTTCTCAGTTCCGAGGAGTGCACGGAGTCAATCGTAGGCCGTCTTGGGGAAGCCATTTGATGCAACCGTGGACCGGCCTGTAAAATCCCGAATAAACGCGGCATGGACCACGAGAGAATCCAAAGAAGAGGTGGCGGGATGTGTTCAAGAAGGTCCTTCCCGAAGCTAAGGTCACGACCGAAGGTGCCGTAGATAGAAGGAAACTGGGACGACTGAAAAGAATAGCGGTCCTGCGACGGCGCGCGATTAACGCTAGGGTGAAAATGGTATGAAGAAGAAGCAGTTATACGTACTTTTGCCTGTTCCTTTCAGCGCCGTCAGTACGACCCTGCTTGCTGTCATCTAGCCATAAATTGAGGCCTGTGATCGGAGCCTTTGCAAGAGGCGACAAGTCACCAGACCCTTGTCCTTTGGCATAGGCTTGACCTTGATGGCTTACTGAAAAGTCGATTCTTCTCGGCAGTTCACGCTGGCACCTAAAGGTGAAAGCCAAAAACTGTAGGGTACAGAGATTGTTTGTTGGTTGACACCTTGCGCTTTTCTGAGAACACAGAACTCTCAGCAGCAGAAATATTGTGGAAAATAGCCGTAAACTACATTGCATACTGATACTTACAACTGATTAGCACGTTCTCAATTGACTTTCTGCGAAAAGGAAGCTACATAAAAGAACCGATGCTGCAATGCTTGTTGAAAAGTTGTCCTTCTCTGATCTAAGAGGCGAAGACGGCATCTACCCCATAGACAGTTATGTGTATACTAATTTTGAGCGGAAATAGCTAGGTGCCAGTACACAGTATTCTTTAGTTTTCGGCGTGTCTACCATTCACACCTGAGGAAGTAAAAGTAATATCTCTTTGTTCAAGAAGCAGAAGCCACAAGCAACCGCGAAAAGCGTTTCGTATTCATGACTTTTCTAATGAATTAGGATTAATCGTTCTGTAGAAGAATAACTTGGTAAGCAGGGTGATGTGAAATAAGCTTCTATGCAGTGCAGCCACATAATTAAAAATGGCACCGAGCGGCATCAGCATTTATACCATGCGCGATCAAGCGCTTTATTAGTAAGAAAAAAGCAAAAGTTGCGTTATTTTATTGCAAGAATTAGGGCTGATATGGTACCCTATCCCAATCTTTCACGTATTTTAGTTTTGCGTGAAGGTTTACAGCATCGCTGTCAATTGCTAATAGAGTAACTCAACATTGTTGACATGCTATCCTGAAAAAACTTTCATTCTACTTCAACTGTGTTCGTAAAAGTTAATACTGATCTGGAACTCAAATCCGTAACTAAACAAGTAAGAAAAAGTTTTGTATCATGGGAAACGGTCCTTCATCCCGGAGCTCTCCTGCTCCTTTGAAGCAGAGTAGATGACATCTTCATATAAACCTCTACGCGAGAAAATATGTGGTCATAAGCTTCACTCGGTTGCTTGTCGTACTGTTGCTACGGCTGTTATTTGTAACAGTTTTATTAAAATTTTATAAAATTAATGCAAAGCTATGCCAGGATTTATCGAAAGTCGAACATGAATGCTTTTGAAAGTTTTGAGGCAAAGTTCTCCATCTTCGAATTCCTTATGCACTGGCTCGTTTCCTATAATGACCTTTTCAGTGGGCCATTGAATTAATAAAAAGAGGTCATGCTTATGTATGTCATCAGCGGGTGGAAGATATGCGTGGATTCAACGTAGAGCTTTCACCGTGGCGATCACGGCCGATTGAAGAATCGTTACAATTGTTTGAGGTGAGTCGCTTGTGCATGAAAGTGAATAACTTGAAGTAGAGCACTACTTCTGCGTCACGGAAACGCTTCCATCATCTACGAGCCGATCATTCTAAGTGACCCTATATTCTAAAGGCTTCAATTTTCATACGAAAAGAAGAAGTGATTTGGTGAATCTCGCATTCCAGGGCCCTCCTCGTTGGGGTTTGATATATGGTCAATAACTCTGGGATATTTGAACCTTTACACGTATCCTCACGCAGTGATCAATTAATTGTTGTCGACTCTGTAGAGGAACTTGTCGATCAATGTACTAGGCCAAAATCACTGAACCGAGGAGCCATCTTGGTGTATAATTCATGTTTTCCTTGAGGAGCGGCGTTCTTTCGAACTAACTTGTAATTGAAAAGGTGTGTGGTGCGTGAACAACTTGTGCTGACTCTGGCAGAACTTCCACGCTATAGATAATTCATAGATCTCTTGTAATTACATTTACAAAAAAAAATGTTTTGAATTGTAGGATATGAAACGAGGGAAATTTGATGAAGGAGAGGCGACCTTGCGTCTGAAGCTCACCCTTGAAGAGGGAAAGGTCGATCCCGTAGCTTATCGAATCAAATATGTACCACATCACAGAACAGGAAATCGATGGTAGCGAGCTGTTGCTTTTTTCTTTCGACTTTAAACGGTTTGGCAAATAGGACTACAGGGTTTATTTTATAGGTGTATTTACCCAACATACGACTACACGCACTGTCTTTGTGATTCGATCGAGAACATCACACATTCTTTATGCACAAAGGAATTCCAGTCAAGGTGCGTCAGGAAAGAGACAGGGTTGCATAGTTTTGGTTTTGGTACAGTACGGTTTCAAAACCATTCGTGCTACCGCTCACATTGTTGAGCACAATATTCATTAGTTTCAGACGCAGCTCCTATTATGCTCTTTGTAACATGCTAGACATTTATTGCCCTGTTCAATGGGAATATGGAAGGTTGAATATGAATTATACTGTTGTGTCAAAGCGAAAAATCATGAAACTCATCGACTCCGGTATTGTGAAGTATGTTGTCATTTTTGAAGGGTGATGCAAGGTTATGAGATAAAAAAGAAAACCTCCAGTGGTCTGCTCGGGACACTCATGCATATTTTTACCTAAAGATCTATAGGATGTATTCGAAAATTCGAACATATATCCAGTCCACGCGATTTCTTATTGGAAAGCTAGCTATAGGTAGTACTGTTGTTTTCGTAGTCGAAGGCAGCTGATGTATAGGCGTTATGGGCGGAAGGTTCGTTGGTCTATAGGAAATTCGATGAAAGTATGATGAACACGTGAAGTCCTTCCTTTCAACCCTCCTTATCTTAAACTCAAGGGCTTGTGCGTGGCGTATCTAGGAGTAAGAGATCAACGCGGGCTGCATTTTTTATTTTTGTACTGTATTTTCTAACGTCTTGGTTTTGAAGTTTTTCAAAAGTTTTCACACGTGTTGTCTTCATATTTTCAATTTGATGTTTGAGGGATTGGGATGATCCACGACTATTCACACTTGCGGCTTTACGTCGTCGTGGAATTCCACCAGAGGCGATTAATACGTTTGTGGCCAAGTTGGGATTGACAATGACTCAAATGGTCATTGATCCTCATGCTTTAGACGCCACTGTCCGGGATTATTTGAATGTCAACGCTCCGAGGTAATTCTTGCTTGTTCCTTAGAATTTTACTGTTTCCTGCTCACGTAAGTGTTTTTTTGTTGAACAAGATATTTCGGATATTTGATTTTGCGGGAGGTGGTGGAGCGGTAGACCCACCGCTCATATTTCAGAACTTCAACTGTGGAAAAAGACATGTGGTCTTTAAGGAACTATCTATCATAAGTATACTACCTTGAGTTGTCTGTCGTTGGTGTTAGCTGTATTCATAATTATTCTATTGTGTGTAAATTTTGGCTTTATGGGGTGCACGAATCGCCAGTTCTTTGACAAATTATGTGAATAGGAAATTTGTGTAAAATCCTGCTAAAGCCTCCGATATATATATTGCGACTCACGTAATCATTGTAATTTCAACTTTTTGAAAAGACTCGTCCTTACATCTAGTTATTTAAAAGTATTCAACAGATAAGTACAAGTGTGAAGTAGCTAACTAGTACCTACTTTGTTATGGGCGCTCCACCATGAAACAGATAAAGTCAATTCAGTCGCCATAAAACACAATTTCCTACATCAAGTGTCCTGTCGGTCCTATTGAGGACGACCTTTGTTGAAAGGATGTAAATCACTGCTGGCAGATGTGCGTGCTGTTATTGTAAATCGCTTAAGGGGAACCCTGTTTTCGGTAGAGTAATGCAGTCCAGTGGCTTATCTCCTTGTTCTGACAGATAACGTCCAAGGAAAGCCGGTTTTTCGATAATAGTTGGCTGAAGGTTCTTTAAATACGTTCTTTGCATTTCATTCCGTGATGTAGAACTCGTTTGCCCGGGGACAATCTTGAAATGCTGGCAGCTTGGAGAAAGTGTAGTCTTTTCTGTATAGGTTCTCCGCTCCGATATTAAACGTATCCAGCTCCTCATAGTTGTAACTCGATATTGTCGCGTGGGTTACGAAGATAGCTATAGCTGGGGTTGAGCCACATTCCCTCACTCGCAGGTACCCGATCTAGGTTACCAGGCCTTTGTGAGAACCAATGTTCATGGGAAAAAGCTTGTCAACAGGCGCGCCAGTACCTCTGCTCTGTTGTCGCTTGCATCAAGAAAAAGTTACACAAAGGCGCGCAAAAGGCCCCATCTCAGCCATTTCTACTTCTGATGCAAGCAAGCGTTTGTGCATTGCTATCTCGAAACTTTTTGAGGGTGCCAATTGTACCCTGGGATATTAGCAGTGTCTCCTGAGCGGTGCTACGCAGCGTTATCGTTTTGAGGACCCCTTCATGATTTGGGCAATGAGGCTCCATCATTACAAAAGTACCCACGAGTATCTGGCTTGGTAGCCAGTTAGGAGCCGAGAAGCTAGCCAGGCTGTCCCATAGTGGCCAAATGGCCCAATCATTATATGCGACATCAGACCATTCGCGTACTTCCCGTTCACTCTAATGTAAGCTTTTGGCCGAGCCGTATGCAACATTCCGAGCACACTTCACAGAGCCTGGTGGCTTTTGGTTTGTGATCGACCTTATTCGTCAGCCGGGGTCTAGTGAGAGGAAACTTGCTGTGGATGAGATTCGTGGCAGTATTAACAGCTGGGAATAGGTATTGAGGGGAGATTTTTTTGGTGCTAGATTTACGTGACGAGCGGGCTTATATCTTACGTTTCACTTTTTCTTATTTGCATCCCTCATGACCTAATCCGTTTTGAAACATGTATTGAGTTTCTGCCGAATTTCGGTTGAGCCATCAGTTTCAAACCATCCAACATGTGATAAAGAGGTAACTATAGGATCAAAATAAGATAAAATATGAGATAGCAGTGTAGACACATACAACATCTAATCTTACGCTTCCAGTGTGAAAATTGGAGAAGAAGCGTAGATACCTCCAGCAATTAATCATACGCTTTCAGTTCGATAGGTTATAGACTGTTCTTCTTTTCTTTTTATTTGAATTACTTATATTATTTGACGATTTTTAGGACAATGGCCATTCTTGAAGGGTTGAAGTTGACTATTGAAAATTTCGACGAAATGAATCTCCCATCGTCAGTGTCGGTTCCCGATTTTCCCTCCGAAAGTAACTGCGAGAAGTATCACGAAGTGGCCTTCGATCGGGTGATCTACATTGAGCGAACGGACTATAGACAGGCATGATTTCCATTTAGTTTTTTGTTTTTTCACAGGGTAAAATTGAACTTTAATAATTTAGAAAGGTTTATCATGTAAGATATGCTCTGAATGTTTTTTTTTTGTTCCGCGATCGTTCGAAAAGGTGAAACCTGTGAAGTCAGTAACAGTAAGGGCGTGTAATTCTAAGAAGGTTAAGAAAGTTCGAAACTTCTTAGAAGTTGGTAGTCGGCACAGTTATCTTTAACTGAAGTTTGCAACAATTGATAACCGTCTCACTTCAGCGCTCCTAAACCGTTTTGGGAATAGCATCATCCTTTTCTTTACGGCTTTGAGCGCTCAGCTTGCCAAACTCGAGCCAGCCAGAAGGCGAGCTTCCTTTCTTTGGTTGTCTTGCTGCTCGTACAAGATACCATTCCCGTGCATTACCGACCTCTTTGCTTTTGCCGGTCTTAGCGAGCCTCAGCGAGTTGATCTGTCTTCGTTGGAAAACTGATTAACTAGACATATGAGCCTTACTTCTCCAACCATGTGTTTGCTTGCGGTAGCTTTGAGAAGAAGCATCCATGAGAGAGCTGTAAGAGGGAGTTCCCATTCCTCTTTTCCTCTGCTTACTTTGGCCTTTTCTACACCTTCTCTTTTCACATCAACGCGACCCTTCATATCACCCGCGATGTCATAATCTTCTGGAACTGACCTTATGGCATCGCTAAGGTCAGAAGACAGAACTCATTGTTATCGGGAGCCGTTTTGAGGAAACTGTCCTGTACCCCTCTTTCGTTTCTATTCACTTAACCACGATTCAATCTCCCATTCTGTTGGCAATAGGGAAGTTTTTTTTAGGTAATCCACCTCTTCTACTTTCCACTTTCCAGCTGGCATCCTCTCCGTTGTAATACATACGTCTCAACACCCTTTTCAATTTTTCACTTTTGCAACTTCAACCAAATTTGTTACGAGTGGTGCAGCTCATATGATGTTCAAACTCGCCCACACATGCACATGGGACAGTAATTGAGCCTTTTTAACGCCCTATTTAGAGCGTTTCCGGACGTGAGAGTGCCACATATGATATACGAGGGGCCAAAAATTCTTCATCTATCTCGTAAGACATTTTTATGGTGAACTATGAATTTCATTCATTATCGAATCTTTTCATAAGTGTTCAGTGTGCAGCTCGCGGGATATCCGTCCGCCTTGGGTGAGACCAGCGATCAAGGGCAGCAGGGCAAGTGATCTGCTGGCATTGTAGTGTCAAACTGTTGGGTAGTAATCTAAGCAATGGCTGCTTTCATAGTCCACGACCAGTCGCGCGACTAGTCGCCAGTACGGCGGCACCCATAACTAGCGCTGCCTCCTTGACCGATCGAGCGACCAGTGGCACGATCAGTCGAGCGACCAGTCGCTCGCGAGATGGGTCCGCGACCAGTCGCGCGAGACTGGTCGCGCGACTGGTCGCTCGCAAAATCGTGGACTATGAAAGATGCCAATGAATTCTATCCCGCAAAGTTTGCAATTGGTGTTTATGTTTCAACCTCATTCTGATAACCTTGCGGTTGAATATGGAACTTGCTGATCGAGGATTTCACTCAGGTTGCTGACCTTCTTTTAATATCTTTACAATCTCGAGTATGCGAAGCGATTGATCTATCATTGTCCTCTGAATACACAGCGGTTTCATCTCTGTTACATGTAAGGAGACAGAGAGACTAGCAATTTTTGATAATCTCTATGATAGGGATGATTCGGAGCTGCTTTTGTAGAAACTGAGTGTGAACTTGGTTGCTGGGAAGTTAGATGTCCTGTCGATGGAAGTTGTCGATCTCTTTCCTTTCCTTTTGGTCTGTACTACGGTTTCTTTTCTGTTGACTTCCGTTCTCACCCTTCTTCACTACCGATCTCCATGAATGTCGAACCCTCTACGTAGATCTTCGTATTTTCGCTCTTCAGTATTATAGTGCTAAGACATGCACAACATCATCTACCTACGAACCCGTTGTGCAGCGCTTTTCCTTTTTTTTGCACTTTTATCTTAGCATTTGCTTCCCATACTATGATCCCTAAACTGTTTTATCTCTACTCTCTTATCATCTCTCAATTGCTTATCATAATGAGGAGTCCCATTGCAATTATTTTTAGAGATTCTGCTGCCTTGCCTTTTTGCTGCTTACATATTTGAAGTGCGACTAAAAGGCGGTGTGGTACGTCGCCGTTGTCATAATGATGCGACCGACGTTCCGCAGCGTGCCAGGCATCGCGCTATGAGACGCAATGTCCTCCTCTCTTTTTTCGGTGGCGGCCTTGTCTTGAGCGAGCTGGACACAGCCAAATTTTTATGTTGCCTTCTACGCACTCGATCGACTCTTTGCAAGCGGACGACTTTCGTTGCGTACGTGTCTAATGAGCTTTGCTTGGGTGCCGCCTCATTGACCAAAGATCATCATGACGGAAATGTAGCGTTTGCAGGAAAAGTCGTAATGGTCGCTACTTGAAGCAGAAGGGCTCGCGGTGACAACATGCATTGAGCATGAATGATTAGACGCCGTGAACCCGTTCCACGATGCACCAATCGAAGTTGTATAACGCACATGACAGACTCCTTACTTTATATAAAGCGCTCGCGTCTGTCTCTCCGTCCGTCTGTCTGTCTGTTTGTACGGAAATTCATAACTTCTGTCTCCGTGGACCTAGGACGTTCAAATTTGGTAGGAGCACAGGCGACAGGATAGGAACACCTATGGTGGGTGGCAGGACCGGACCACGCCCACAGGGGGCGGGGTTTGTGCGAACAAAATGTTTCGGCGGAAAATCATAACTCCTGTCCCCGTGGACCTAGGACGTTCAAA